TCTTTTAAAGAAGCTCACATGATTAGATCAGGCCACGCACTCAAGGGGAGGGGATTTTATGGGATGTACACACCAGGGATTCCAGGCACCACCCGACAACTCTGCCTACCACACACAATCAAAGAGCTTCCTAACGAAAAAGTTTCATACAGAGACAAGATAACACTTTAAATACAGATGAGTGAATAAACTACATGTCCTTCAGGTGGTCCGCAAAAAGTATTTTCTGCATTGTTCTTTCTCATAAAATTGGACAACAGTTTGAAATTATAATCTGAGATAAAAGAAGCCTAATTTGCTCATTAAGGCTCAATTATTGTGGAGCTGTTCTAGTTTGTTTCAGCTGGTATATCACAAAGAAAGGCCAATTTATTAACTGCCTCTATCATTTCACTGTACCAAGGACAAAGCCTACCCCATGGGTCACTGTAGCAGCCCAGGATACAGTGAATGAAAGAAAGACAAGGGAGATGTCCACCAAGAAATAAGCATATTCACGTATAAAATTTCTAGAACTGCCCAGACCAACTATCAATATAAATAAAACTTTCATATGTTTTCTCATATGATTCTAAAGAAGGCTTTTTTTTTAAGGGACAAGAACAACTGCTTTAAGGCCAAAACTCTGGTTGCTGAACTAAAAATAATAAGAATGAAATCCTGAAGAACAAGCACTGACAGTGGGAAAAACTGAACTAGTGAATTTGAAGGCAAACATTTGGAAAGAAAAGTCAGAGAAAGAAATTTTTGAAGAAAACAGGCAAGAGACATGGAAGACATGTTTTTTTCTAGTCTATATAAGAGCATCTTGTAGAAGCCACTAGCTATTCCCAAACCCATCTCCTCCTCCTCCTGGTCAGACAGACAGACTCTATTTCTAAGCCTCGCTTGCAGTGTGTCAGCTACGGCCAGTGAAAGGTGGGCAGAAGTGCTATGTATCACTTACAAGCCTGGTCTACCCCAAACCTCCCAGCATTGTTTCTTACTCTCTTTCCCCTACTGCTGTAACCTTGGAAACCACAGGTTGCAGTGGTAAAGCCACAGGTTGGAAGAGTCCTGGATCCCTGGTGACCATCCCTCGGAGAACATCCTCCCTACCAGAAGACCCATTTTGAACTTTACATGAGCTAAAAAAAGAACTATTTGAGATTTTGGAGCTTAGCTATAACAGCAGGCAGCATTATTAAGGAAAATAGAAACTGGCATGGGAGGAACAGTGTTGCCATAACAAAAATAAAAATAAAAACACTTAAATGGCATTAGTTTAAAGATCAGGCAGTCAGCAGCAAGAACATGTATTTCACAAGCTGAAAACCTGGAGAGCCCAGTGATCGCGTGACAAAACAAGTGGGAAAGCTGACGCCTGTGATAAAGGAAAAGGCCCCTCACGGGCCTACCATAGCTCTACAAGTGAATGGACAGTCACAGTGTAGGTAGGCATTTACTTTCTGCAAGGTATTACATAAAAGAGGTAAACATAGAAAAGAATTTGGTGATTGGCAAACTGAGCTTATAAGAAATAGAAGTATAGAAATTCAGGCCCCAGAGGGTTATAAATAAAGCAAAAAACATACAGATCCTAAAAAGTAAGAGACAAGAGAGATAAAGGTCTGAGGAAGAAAGTCCCAAAAGATTTCTAATTGAACCAAGTGACTCAATCCTGAAGCAAACATGAGATTCAGGTATGGTCTTCCCACATATTACTTCATATAGCCTCAAAACAGAGCCATTCAAGATGGTGACATGAGGCAGGGGCTACGCTACCCTACCTCCACTACCTACCCAAACAAGGGAAAAGAAAAAAACTGTATTTAGAAAAGAATGCTGGGTATGATGTCCACATAGAGAACCTGATGGAAAGAAACCGATCAAAGGCCTGCTAAGTTTTGAGGTAACTATGATGCCAAACCCCCATATATTTGGACTAAATAAATCTGTGTTCATAGCCTTAGAACAACTTTTAGGCCCCAAAACTTGAAGGAGTGGAAACCAGGTAGAGGAAAGAAGGCAGGAAAAAAAGAAGGGAGCGAGGGAAGGGGGAAAAAACGGGAAAGAGGGAATATAAATGTAAATGCACAGATAGAGAGAAAGAGAGGAATCTTCTCAAAAGGTATATTCCCCAGCATCAACTGCAGAAGCGCATGCAGAAAAAAAGATAAAGAAAAACCCGGGTGCAGTCAGGGGCCCAAGAGAACAATGGGCAAGGAGCCACTGTCTAAGCAAGAAGTTCCCCACCACCAAGGCAGAAGGATTTCCCAGTGCAGCCTGCTGAAGAGATTAAATGATTTGCTATGAGGCAAGAAATACTGTGTCTCCCATTATTTCCATTTCCACGTAGGAGTTTTTGTTGTATCCTATTCTTGCTTCTTCCTTATATATTGGGGTGGGAGGGGACACAAGTCCAGATAACTTGACATCCTACCTACTTCCTGGTCACCAGTCCTTAAAGGGACATACATGGATCTGACAGAGAATGTTGAGCTTCTCTGGAAGACACTAGACTTTGAGATGGATGTTAGTGACTGCAGGGCATATTGGGTTGCCTCTCTTCAGGAAAGGGCAAGTGTGTTTTATGGACGAGAAGAGGGAAGAGACAGTTGATAACTAGAAGAGTGGACTGTGCCAGAGATTAGCTATTATCCACCAATCCTGTGTCCTTCTCCTCTTAGACACAGTGAGATAACCTTTCCCTGCCTACTTTGCAGGTCAATATGACCATGTAATTAAGTTCCGGCCAATGAAATATGAATAGAAGCGATAAGGTACTGCATCTATGCCTAGCCCTTAAAATCCCTCTCAAACACAACACTCCTTGATCTTTCCCCTTCTATAGTAATCTTCAAAGCCATATTAAAAATGGCACAGGAGACATAATGGAAAGAGCCCCCCTAAATCACCATTATGAAGAAAACCATCAGAAACACCATTTTGAAGTTGACATAGTTAAGAAATAAACAATTTCCTCTCCTTTTCCAACATCCATGAATTCAAACAAAAAATGTATTGAACACTACCTACAAATACATGGTAGTTTCCCTCCCACCTACTTTCCTTACCTTTTAGGTGCTATAGAAGATTTTTAAATGTATAAAATATCTTTATTCAAGGATCTTACATATACTATAGCATAAGATAATATATATGCAAAAAAAAGCTATAGTGAAATGAAATTTTTGAAGGGCTATCAGTTAACTAAAAGCCCTGAACTCACAAAGGGTTTCTTCATCACTTTTTATAATTTAATTTAATTTTATTTATTTACTTTTTAAAGATTTTACTTCCTTATTTATCTTTAGAGAGAGGGGAAGGGAGGGAGAAAGAGAGGGAGAAAAACATCCATGTGTGATTGCCCGTTGCATGCTGTCCTCTGGGGACCTGGCCCACAACCCAGGCATGTGCCCTGACTGGGAATCGAACTGGCAATCCTTTGGTTCACAAGCTGGCACTCAATCCACTGAGCCACACCAGCCAGGGCTCTTCATCATTTCTCTATATGACAAAAATATACCCAATAACTAATAATTTAGACAGATAGAATGCCACAATAGACAAATTCACCTCAAACTAACCTGAATTCTACTACAGAATCTGACCTTTACAAGTTGTCTGAACTTGAGCAAGTCACTTTTCTGCCCTGGAGCTTCATTTCTGCAAATAAATAAGGTACCAAATAACCTCACATTAAATGAAATAATGGTCTTTGCTGAATCCTCCCTTTTATCAAAAAGGATATAAAGTTAATTTCTCAAGCACATGAAAAGGAACTTTTAAAAAGGAAGCTTCCACAGAGGCTTTGTACTATACTCTCCTGTATTTTGAAAGTTTAAGAAACATTAGTCAACTGCAATAACAACTTATCTTACAATATGCCTTTATTATCATACTCAAAACAATACCCATCAGAGCGAAGGTATATTTTCAATGGTTAATTTTGTTCCTTTACCACACACACAAAAGACATAGTATCATAGTTTCCACCAGGTTTATCATCAAATAGTTTTAAACTTTCCAGTTTGTAAAGTGCAACATTGACAAAATTAAAAAGAAAGAGGAAAAGAATAATCCACCTCCCTTTAGGAAAGGGATTCTCAATAGGCAAATCTCGTTGGCAGAATCGGACATCTGAAAGAGGATTACCTAGACCAGCTGAGACTGAATATATGATCTAAATACGACCTATTCCCTCTTTCCTCACAGAATAAAACTACAAATGAATTATTCAAGAACACGGTTGTATAATAAAAAAAATGCTTTCCATAATAAATGAACCCTCCACTTATTGCTGCAGGTTACATCATAAGGTATACTGAGAAATTTTAATAAAATCAATGTGACTCAATTTCAAAAGCGCAAGCAACACTGCAAATCATCCCTGCTCTTTAATTCATAATGACAAAAGAAATCCAGATATCCCTTTTGGCTTTGGTAACTTAAAGAAATTAAAGAAAAAAATCTAAATATCTCTAACACATTTATTAATTTGTAGGCTGTAAATAAATCCCTGTCTATGATCATAATTCACAGCATTTCCCAGCAGGTCTTTCTCACTGACACCCAATCATATCAGAAATAACAATTACAGAAATATTCAAATCTCTAACATGACAGCTTGTCTACACAGTAAATGATCAACTAAAGGTACCTATAGCACAATTTAGATCATTAACTAGGAAGAAGACTTTTAAAAATCCCCTGATTTTTAAAAGCAAGGAAAGTATACAAAAACAAAAACCACTCTTCAAAGCCCCAGTGTAAACTACCACAATTGAATTGATTGGTATGATCAGTATTTACTGAAAATGCACACAGCACAAGAATATATATCATAGTAAGTAATTCATTTCTCTGTTAAGAAAATAAAACACATTTTTAAATCATGTGTTACCATAGAGATGAAGGAGTTCCCTAAAATGACAAGAAACAATTAAGACACTTAGCAAAAGAACTTAACAAAATACTTTCATAGTCATTGGCCAAGCTATCATAAACCCACGACCTACTTGTTTCATGGCAGTCTCTCCAATCTTGTCTGAATGTTTGCGGATACTTTCCAGAAAGTCTTTGAGATCAGACATAGAGACATCCTTAATTTCCTCTCGAAGCTTGGGGATGTTATCCACCATCACCTTGCAGAATCGATAGTGGCTCACTTGAGGCAGGTAGGTGTGCTCTAGATGCTCCAGAGTTTTCAGTGCAGGATAATGCCTGTAAAGAGAATTGTGTCCGCTTTAGCTCAGTTCAGTCTGCTTTAGCATCACAGATACATTCCTCAGGAAAAATTTCTAGCCTGAAGTAGTTTTCACTGCACATTAAGATAAATCCAGTATTAAGCTTTAATAAAAATATCAGTGGAAAACTTCAAATTATTAATTCATATATGCATTAAAAGACAAGTAAATTATAACAAAAATGTTTTTTTCTCTTAATTTCATTCAAGGTGAGATTTTTTAAAGTAATGATTATAACACTCACTGATTCTCTCCAAAATCAACCACTGTCTGGAAAAAATCCAGCCATAGTTAATATAACAAGAACAGTTTGAGTGACATTGATGTAACCTGGCAGCCGAGGAAAGTGGACCGGAATGTGTATATGTGAACAGTGATGACCTCACTGTACTATTCAGTGGGGGTGATAGACACTGGTGAGTGAGCGTGAATGCTGTGTGACTGTCACATTCAAAATGACTGAGCCAGTAGAGCTACGAATCTGCATCAAATTTTGTGTTAAGCTTGAATATTTTTCCTCCGTGGGAAACTATTGGGATGACTCAGAAGGCTGCAGTTGTGAACAACTGGTGATTGGCAGCTGCATGACAACAATGTGCCTGCTCAGGCATCACATCCCATGGAGAGTTTTTTGGTGAAACAACAAATCACCCAGGTGACTCAGCCCCTTGAAAGCCCAGATTTGGCACCCTGTGACTTGCAGCTTTTCCCGAAGCTAAAATCACCTTTGAAAGAGAAAAGATTTCAGATCATCAGTGAGATTCAGAAAAATATGTTAGGGCAGCTGACAGCAAATGGGAGAACTGTGTGAGGTCCCAAGGTGCCTACTTTGAGGGGGATTGAGGCATCACTGTCCTATGTACAACGTTTCTTATATCTTGTATCTTCTTTAATAAATGTCTGTTTTTCATGCTACATGGCTGAAAACCTTCTAGACAAACCTCATATACATATATTATATAGGACAAAATAGGACAAAAGAAGATGAAAGAAATGGAGCTAAACTGAAGAAAAACTACTACTATATTATACCAAAATTATATCAACAATGACCTAAAGTAAACTGTAATAAATTAAGATAAAAATTATAATCCACAGAGCAGCCTATAAGAAAATAACTCAAAATATAATCATTAAAAAATTTAACAGAGGTACTTGAAAACAGTATGCTAAATATTATCTAATGATTATTTAGCACACTGAATGATAAAAGTGACTAGGTAAAAACAAATGAGTTGTGCATAAAAGAACATAATAAGAATAAAAAGGAAACAACTACCTGGTAAAGATGATTTGCAACATATACACTTGAGGGTTTAAAAAAACAATAAACAAAGGAAAGCCTTAAAGGAATTTAAAAAAATAAACAAAGCCAACATATGAGAAAAGAAGTTGAACTGATATGTGAAGAAATCCAAATCAAAAACATAATCTTGTCACTCAAACTGGCAAAAATTTCTTAAAAGATTACCAGCATTATTTTCAAGAGTTGTAATAAATGATAATTCACAACCTGCTAGTAATCAAACATATATTATTGATAACAAGTTTTCAATGAAGAATTTTACCAAAACAAGTATTCTAAACAATTGTATTTCAAAAAAAAAAAAAAACTAGATGTAAAAAACATGCATAAAGTTCTTGAATTACAGTTATGTGTATTGAAAAAACTAATCTAGATGTCTAATAACAAGCAATTAAACACATTATGATATATCCATTTAGGAAAAAGCTAATAAAATAGCAAAATATTTACAATATTGTTATATAAAAATTATTTCAAAAATAGAACTTACAAGTATAATCATAACATTTTTCATAATTATAAATGTGTAACATGGACAACAGTGTAGTGATTGAGGAGGGAGTGGAGTATAACGGGACTAAATGGTAATGGGAAAAAATACAATAAAAAATTTTTTTAAAAAATAACTACATCTACTTTAAGAATGTTTACTATTCTGTATGTGTAATCTTAGTGGCTAGTTCAGGAATTCAGGTTGATCTGCCATTAAGTAGCTTTCTTTGTTAACAAAGTAAAACAAATTTTTATAAATTATTTGTAAATATTAAAAACTGATTTCTGTAAAAAATATGTATACATGTATACATTATAAATATACATGCATCACTAAAAATACCCACACATAAGTACATAGAAAAAATGACTAGAAAAATATATACAAAAATGTTCACCATGATTTTTTTCCTTTGGATAGTAACATATGGTTGATAATTTTCTTCATGTTTTTAATTTCCTAATTTCCAATGATATATTTAGTATAGAAAAAACTCAGTTTAAAATCTATAAATAAAAGATTATAGCCCTTTTTTAGATTTTAAGAGTGAATTACCCAGTAGATACTTAATCTCTTCTTGCTCAAATGCACTTAGTACCACAAACACTAAAGACTTGAGATTGGTTTTTCTTTATTTTTTTGTTGTTGTTTTTGTCTCATGTGTTCCAAAAATCAAAAAGTTAGTCCAAATACATGGAGAGAAGAAAGGTTTTTTTCTTCTAAATTTAGAAATAAAAATAAAATATAATTTAATCTGAAATGGTTGCTTTCATTAAAATTTTACAAACTCAAAAACAGTGCAATTCACGTGGCTTAGTGTAAACAGAATGGTGTTTATAGTACAAATAGGTATGAAGAGTTATGTGCCATGAAAAGAAATTCGTCTGAAGAGAAACTTTAGAATGGACAGAAAGCCAGAAATTAAGCCAAAAAGATAAACACACTCTGGGGTTTAGTTATATTTTGGAACATTGTTTATAGAATGAGAAAAATCTAACAATGCTGCCTGCAGACACGAGGCACATTTGCTGATGAGACACATGGCCGCCTGCCGAAAACATCTGGTCTGTCAAGTAACGCCACATTTTTCAAGGCTAATTAGTGTAAAACCCAGTGATTCTGGGAAACAAAGAATGTCACCTTACTTCCCTATTGTCTTCTCTACTATATTCATGTTCCCACTACACCAGATCAAAAAGATTATTCAAATTTCTGGTGTATTTCAAATATCCATGACCAGTTAAAGAATGATAGGCAATTAAACAACTGTACAGCAGACACCAAAGAAAAAAATTATATTGCTAACAGTCATGGAAATCTAAAACAAGATTTTGACATTATTTTTGACAACCTCTAAACATTATTAAAACTGAACCAAAAACCAAATTCTAAGTTTTATTTGAATGTGTGCAGCTGTCTCCCTCTTCCCATAATGCAGGCCCCCTGACAATGATGTGGCAGAGAGAAAAATAAAGGAAAAGTAGAAACTGAAAAAAAAAAAAAAAAAGGTGGTGGGAAAAGGTCTAAAAAATCCTACAAACTGGATAACTAAGGTCAAAATAATTTAGACATGGCTGAATGCTGTCGTGAGAAGAGGAAATGTTGATTCTGGGCAAATTAAATGTTGATACTTTCTTCCCATGGTATGGAACTCTTTCACAAAACGGTTTTTAAAATTCTAATAAGTGACTTTTTAAAGCAGATCACAACCCTCCATGAGAAAAAATTTTTTAATTCAGAGTATGATAAAAATATAAAATAAAAACTTTCATTACAGAAAATATTAGTGCCTTTCCCAATCAAAAGGCATCATTAACAAATATTTAACCTCCTCTATGAGCTAAAGATAAAAAGATGGTCAGATATCTTTCCTTAAGGAATGTAAAACCTAGTAGTATAATCAGTAATTACACCTTTAAAAAATAACTAGGCTGTCAGCCATGAAAGAGTAACAAGGAACAGACATGAACTCCCACTTTTAAAAAGTAGAATATGGGCTAAAATATATAAAATGGTTGTTTTCAGATAGTAGACATCAGGTAACACAGAACTGTAATCTCTGAAAAAAGAGAAACAAATAAGGTGAGTTTAATAATTATCTGAGTTATCTACCACACGGTGATTTCTAGATCATGGACAGACTCAGGGCAAAACCAAACAGAGCCCAGCAGCTTAGCAGCATTAGAGTCAGAGACAGGAGCTCGGGAAAGCTGACAGACCTTGAGACTGTGCAATAGGATTAAAAAAACAGATGAAGTTCCACATGGACGGGCAAAAAAGAAGAAAAAGAGGGGAAGAGAGAGAGAAAAATGAGGAAAAGACAGACAGATACCAGGGAGTGTAAGATAAACACTTCCAGGAGCCTGGAAAAGGCAGAGGCATATTCAAAGGACCAAAATGAAGAGTCCTTGGGGAATTCCTGAGTAATTCAACAAAGATGAATACTACTCCGAAATACCCAAAATGAAGGTGGGTCTTAAAAAGCTTAAAACAAAGGTTTAAAATGGGATTTAAACAAACCTGCAAACAACTAACCTATTTGCCAAAACAAAGACCAAAACTCTCTAAGAAAAATAAAAGCCCCCCAAAATCCAGACACTCATCAACATAAATTAATGTCCATTATTAAATCAAAAATTACTAGACATAAGAACAAAAAAAAAAACCTGACCTATAAGTAGAAAAACCAAAGCAGTCTGTGAAGAGATACAAAATGTCGAAAGTGTCAAAACTAGCAAAGAACATGAAAACAGATAATAGAGCTCTATACATGTATTTAAAGACAAAAATAAGAGAAATTAAACAAAAAAATATGAAGAATATATTTTCTGAAATGAAAATTTCACTGGATGGGATTCAAAGATTAGACAATGCAAAAGAGAGATATCAAAATACTTGAACAGAGCAATAAAATCCATACCATGTAAAGCACAGAGGAAAAAAAGACTTGGGAAAAAAGAGAATAGATCCTCTATTCCAATATAGATGTAACTTAAGTCCCAGTATGAAGATGGTGAAAGGAGAGAAAAAAATGTTAGAAAAAGTATTATCTGAACATTTTCCAAGTTTTATGAAAATTATATTTACAACCACAAGCAGAATAAACACCCACATGCACACACATGTATTTACACCAAAGTGCATCAAAAATCAAACTGCTGAGAACAAATAAAAAAGG